CAAACGGAGTAGTGGAAGGCCTTCAAATCATCGAAGGAAAACCCAACCTCGCAGAAACGATTTTACCTCTTCAAAGTGAGTTTGAACCCAAACCCTTCCTTTTCATTTTCTATATGATATGAACGGTTTGTGGAACTATTATACACTATTCCAAGTGTATAATATGTCCTTATAAGATCATTTTATTGATGTAAGGGTTAGATACTAACCTAGAGCAAATCTTGGAAAAACTAGGAAACAAGTTCGCCGGAAAACACCCATTCTAGGGGCTGTTTTCGTATCAACGTTTAGAGGTTGAGTTAGCACATCGAGGAGGCTGTTTAACGCTCATACTTAAGCAAGGAATCAGTTCTTAATCCACCTTGACCGAAGCTTTGACCATTGAATCAAGAAGGAAAGGTTTAAAGCTCAATTAAGGTGAGGATTGACATCTAATTGCTTACAACTTGTAGGTTAAGCATGAGATTACCTAAATGCCTAAAGCATATTTTTTCATGGATTATGATGATTAAATATTGATTAAATATTGATATAGTTTCCAAAGAATGAAATTGGAAATGATTTGAGGATGTATGAATAATATGAGATTAAATGAGTTATAAATGAACTATTTTGTGAAATATGCATTTTACTCATGTATGAATTATGTGGATACATAAATGAATATTTATGTATTGAGGTTGAATACTTAAGTTGCTGCTACATAATTGTAAATATGTAGAGAATTACAAAGTGAGAATATTTGTATGATAACAATAATCTTAATAGTATTGAAATACTAGTTAGTGATTATTGGAAATTGTTGATAGAATTGATCCTAGGGATTGGATTGTATGCAATGCACTTGAATATACCTCAAGTGCATATAATGACTTAGTATGAAGCTAAGGTTATGTTATGGGCAGTCCTTAAGGATGACCCAAGGTAGTTTATCGATATGTCGATTCTAGGCATAGGTTTGCTTAGGAATTGGATCTTTGTGCAAGGTGAGGAAATTGACCCAAGTGACATGAATTGTATGGTGATGTGATAGAGCGGAGCTCTAGAATACAATGTCATGTATTGGGTTGGAGCTCTAAGGATTGCATGGTGATGTGATAGAGCCGTGCTCTAGAATGCAAGGTAAGGAAATTGACCCGAGTGACATGAATTGTATGGTGATGTGATAGAGCGGAGCTCTAGAATACAATGTCATGTTTTAGGGTTGGACTCTATGAGTTGTCGTGGCTTATAGTCACGGGGAATGGGGATGGTGATTTCTAAATTAACTTGGGCCCACGGGCCGACTACTTGACTTTTATATAAAGTAAGTATATTTTCAAACGGGGTAACTTAGGGTTACAATCATAATGTATTATCACCCTATTTGAGGGTCTTGCGTTTGAAATACTTGTTGTATATCTATTAGATGCCTGCCACACCAGTACTTTATAGCCGTATAGAGTACTGACCCCTTCGGGGGCGTCCCACCACCATTTCAGGTTGAGGCTAGAGCTTGCTTCCTGTGCTCATTGCTCGAGTGATTTCCCCGGAGAGAAGACTTGGTTCGTGCTTCCTCCACTCTGTTTTAGAACATTTATAAACATGCTCATGGATATTTTACTTTAGAGCCTGCGTGCTCATGTTTGCCCTGTGTGGCATTTGATTTCAAACTATATTTTCCGCTGCGTATTGAATTGTTTATTATGTATGTTTATGGGTGACTTATGTGTGAATGATATCCGTGACGCCTTGTATAATATGGATGTGGTTGACCTTGATTGACTATTCGTGTTGTACGGCTGGTTGTTGACGTGTCCGGGTAGGTCCGGGGCGTGACAGTATTACTGAATTTTTACATAGAAGTAACTTTAGTTTTTTTTAAATAAATAATTTTCCATATTTTTTGAACTTCTTTAATTTATTTAAAGTTTTTCTTAGTAAAAAAACTCAAATTTATTTCTTCATTATTTACAGCCTTTGGATCAGCCTGTTTGAAAAGCGTCCATTTAAACCTAGCCCAACCTATTTGACCAAAGGTTATACTCCGCATATATGTTCATCAACATAGGGTAAGTTTAGTAAAACCCTTCACCTTCCACACAACAGTTAAGCGGCAGACACTACCACACGCTGATATGTTCTATCGTACGCACGTCAATCTTTCTTTTGTCTTTGAACACCACTCTAGTGAAGTGGTTCTCAATCGACATCAGAAATCGCCCTCGGATGAGATCTCATATCCTAACCTGCCCAATCCCAGATGATAGGCCCCGGTTGCTATGCCGTCTCCACCGTTGTGTAATCCACCAACGGAACCGTATTCGATACCCGAAAGCACTAACCGCTGCTTTAAAATTTCACAAACTGCCAATGAATTCTTTTTCCATGAATTAAAATTTGGTAAGTTCACGCCTCATCAGGAATAGCATGTTTGACATACTATTCCTAAAATCTGGCCACCTTCGAACAATAAATTTTTTGACAGCCAATCAAGGGTGACAATGGCGTGGCATTGCAAAAAATTCAAATTTACTATAGGGTAAAACCCATTACCCTAAAAATGGAAGTCAAAATGTTTTTTTTTTGTTTTTATGCTTTCACCACGGAGTTTTAGGAAGTTGCACTCGAGCGAAACCTTTAATGACAGTTGTCTTCTTTAATGCACATCCCTTTTTTTGGTGTGTGTCCTCTTCATCATATACCCTTGTTGAAAATTGCGAATATGTCAGTATCTTGTGATGTTTCATTACTTCCAATCCATTTTTAAGGTTTCGGTAAAGCACATAATACCAATGCATTTGTAATAAAACTCATTCCTTACATATCAGATCAATACAATGTTTTCCATCAAACTGCAAAGTTAATATTAATGGTATAAGTAATACGTAGTATTACAATTACGATTGACATTTTGGGACCAGTGCAGTATTAACTTGAGTTCCATTAATATATGTATTTTGTCTAAGCCTGACGTATTATCAAAACGAGGCCATGGTTTTACTAATTGCATTGTGTTATTGTAAAATATCTGTTATTAGAGCTGCCAGGTAGAACGAACTGCCCTTGACATGGCAGCAATTTACGGGGGTGGGTGGCTGTTGGTAGAGAATTAGATACATAATCTGTTAACAGAACTGCACATGAGTTCCATTAATATATGTATTTTTTCTAAGCCTGACGTTTTATCAAAACGGTGCCATGGCTTTACTAATTGCATTGTGTTATTGTAAAATATTTGTTATTAGAGCTGACAGGTAGAACGAACTGCCCTTGACATGGCAGCAATTCAGGGGGGTGGGTGGGTGTTGATAGAGAATTAGATACATAATCTGTTAATAGAACTGCACATGCATGTTTTATTCAACAATTCTTCATTAAACCCAAAATTGGAGCATACTACAATTTTCACATTTGATGATATCTATTACATCAAAATTTATAGAACATGGAAAATTTAGCATTATCAACTTCAAATCTACACACCCATATAACAGCACTCTGAAGATACATTTTATAACATCCTAACGATGTAGATGTACCACATGTTGTGAATTGCAGGTTGACCATTGGCGATTACACGAAATGTTGTCCTCAAAGCTGTCTTTTTTTGTGTGTGTTCTGTGATTCATTTTAAAAATGTTGTAATAATTAGACTTAGGCTAGACTTAGGATGTCCCTGCTCAAGCCCGACCCAAGGTATGTTCATCTATGCACCGCTCAACTTTTAATTTATCCACCCCCGTTGTTCCGTTACACGCATTTTTACGACAAATGTCTTCTACGGGTTCCAACCAAGAATTTTTTAAGTGAAACCGAGGGAGTGGGTTTAGATTGCTGCACAGACTATTTTCTCAAACAAATTTTTTTCATGCCCTTAAAATTCTTAAACATTCTACTCTTTAAAAAGTCCTCAAGTTACGCTTACAAAAAAAACTCCCTATGGAATATGACCCCTGCAAAAAATCAAGATAAATAAAAACAGGAAAACATTTGTTTCGTATAAAATTCAAGATATTTACAATACCTCTTCATCATGGAATATGACTTCCATAGACGGGGGAATCCATCATGTGCGGGTTCCCTATAGACCCTCGTTGCCCTCGCCTTTATGGCCCACGTAGTTCTCGATTGATCAATTTCCCTAATCATTGATCACATTCCAACCATTTTTCTGAAAAATACTTTATGTAGAAAGCTATTAGTTTTTGGCTCTGCGAATGAAGATTGTGCTTGCATCCGCATTGTATTAAATATGCTATTGAGCATAGAAACAATAAATGAGATAACTATTCCACCACCCATCATAACCAATCGAAATCAAGCATTCAAAAACACCAAATATTGAACCACGTACTAAAGTAGATCTGCCCACTCGGTTGAACCAATAGGAGCATTGTACTTGAACCAAGTCTCACCCACAATCAATCTTAACCACACCAAAGAAACCTAATATTTTCTACGAACAATGCAACCGACCATGTTATCCAGTAGAAACAAATGAAGTTTTTGAGTGAACTGTTCACAAATCTGCTGGCCAATAAAAACTGCACACCTAAGATCTCACAGATTTATTCACCAGATTATGTACTTGGGCCTTCAGAATTCGGAGCACAAAGCATTATTTTGCAATAATTTTTGACAAAAAAACCAACAAAATCATGATGTTGACATTTCTTGGAGGGAACCCTATTCACAAAACAACAATGCTTGATGCACCCACTCTTATACTCATCTTATACCCACCATGTTGGTGAAAGTTTTTTTTTTGTCTGTGAACCTGGTTCACAAACAATATTTTGTTTGTGCAAAATATTGTCTGTGAATCGGAGTTTATAGACAAAAAAAAACACTTCACAAACATAAGTGGGTACAAAAGTGGGTATAAGAGTGGGTACAAAGATGATTTTTGTTAACAAAAATGTTGTGCTTTTATATTTAGATAGATTTTATTATGGCTGGGAGGGAGTGTAAATAAAAAAAGTTTGTGGGAGGCACAAAGGGGAAGTTTTTATTTGAGGGGCCTGTTTTTGTGAAGCGTGTTTATGGTTACATTCTTTCTTCACCACGGCAGTCGGGAAGTTTTTTATTTGTGGTGAAGCCCATTCCAAAACGAGACAAAGAGGGAGATGTCGATTCTGTGGGAGAAGAGCCAAACATGGAGGTGGTTAGTTAGGAGGACGAAGGATTCCAGACCGTTCTTCATAGGCTTCGCTACCGTATGCGGCGTTATTCCCGGCGTGATCGGATATACCGTCATGCAGCTTACTAGCTCCACCAATCCGGAACTCGAAGCCAAGCTCCGCCGTGATGCTCGGCCCGAAAGCTTAGTACGTCCGCACCCCACACTAATCCACATCACTACTCCAGCTTCCTAATTTCTGTAATAAAAAACTCTGATTGATCAAACCCTAGGATATTACTCAATCCATTTTGACTCTTGAAGTTCATTTTCGTTTTTTAGAGATCTGATCCTCCTTTGGTAACCTGACAATTTCAGGGAATTTCTCCCTCTGTGTTAGCGTGTTTTTTAAAACCATATTTTCTCAATTTTAGATTTAATTCATCAGGTCTATGTGTGTCTAGTATGGGAAAAGTTCTCATAAAACATGTCTTTGTTAAGGAGACCAGTTTCACAAAAGATTTGCCGCTATTTTATGACAAGTGCCAATTATGGTGGAATTGTGGATTCTTTTTTTAGAAAAGTTTTTACATCTGCAATTCTTTTCTCTGTCCTATGCAGTTGATGTTTCACAAAAAAAAAATCATTCTTGATAGATTGTTGTTTCACTCAATTTCCTTAGGGCGACCTTTTTTAATCTAATTCATTGCTTCTTCTGATTAGATGATGGGGAAGGTTAATAAAGAGAGGTTAGCAGAGTATCTTGGGGAGCTGCAGAGGAAGGAGAATACAAATGACAGATATGTTGCTGCATTAAAAGGAGAGACATTGACCAGAAAACCTTATGTGAGAATACAACCAGTTCCTACGTCTGAGGATAAAGTTAACACAAGGAAGTAGGTTGGTGTTTTTTGTTCAATAGGTATTGCATTACGAATAGAGCTCGTGTCTTGCAATTCAGATAATGCCTATGCCTACTTTATTATATACATTGCAAAGGGTTTCATAAACATTGATAATACGTGAAGTCAGGCACAATTTGGAGACTACTTATTTTCTTGAGCTTCAGTTATTTCTTTCTGTAATGTATCTTAGCTTTCTAAATGACTTTGCTGGATGATGTGTTTTGGGGTTGGTTAACCATTAATTTGATTTTATGTACTTGATATGTGTTGGGTGAGATGAAATGTTGTCAATTGAATATTTAGATGTCATATACGTCTAAAGAAATGAACATGGTTACCAAACTAACTATGTTTTTGGATTGGGATTGACACTTTGAGAGTGTTACTTAAAATGATGTATGTAGTGTAGCGAGGAGAAGGGCAGGGATTGGAATCTTTTTGGATTTGATATGCGTATAAATGAGCGGATCATAGAGGGTTATTAGTTCTCCCCTTTGGATTACAAAGTAAATGGCAGGAGCGGTTAATTTTTTTATTGTTAACTCAATGAAGGGAAAACAGGTTTTCTGCCTTCCATTTGCTCCATGTTGTAGCATGTACAAGATGCCATCACTTCAAACTATTATCAGGTGCACCAAATTGTTCATTACTTTTGTTGTCTTAAAAACCATATCAAACCCATATGAATCATTTTTATGTATTGGAGTGTCCATCAATCCTTCACATCTCGCCATTACCATAGTCTTCAATCTAAGAATTGTGCCTATGCGAGTATACCTTGTCTAAGAATTCTCACTTGATAGTGGGCAAATGCTAGTGCTTGACGAGGTAGGACCCCAGTGGATAGTGTGGACTAACTTGTTCAGTTAGTTCATATCCATAAGGCCATAAATAAGGCAACCTTGAAAGCTTGATGTAAGACATTAGTTCATTAGACCCGGTGTACCTTGTATGCTTGGTTGGTTGGTTTGGGCGTGTTTGTCCATTACTGCAGCGTTTTTAGCTCACGCTCACAGGCACACAATCAGAAAATATGATATTTGTTGATTAAAAGAAAAAACAACTGCAAGTTCAACATGTTTGCATAATTTAGTCAAGATTAATTAAGTTTATATGTATTTTCATTGTGTGGAGTTGACGAGTATATGTATAGTTTGACCTAATTATGTCTATTGGGTATTCTTCTCCCTTGTCAGTATGTCCTTGATATCGACCCCTCATTGAATTTGTAGGACGAAGCACCCATGCTGACCATCGATTTGGAGTCCACCTATATATAGCTAAGCTTGGTTTGCGATAAATTTAATTGCTTATCCCTGAACATGAATAGTTTTCTTTTATAATTTTGTGGGTCTGTGTGCTTAAAGCTCACTGTTGGACCATGTTGGTCGTTCATTATCCAAATATTCGGCTCTTATATTTACTATATTTAAATATATTATTAGAACCGGGCCGGACCGAGTATAAGAATTGGACCCAGAATTGGACCCAAGTATAAATACAAGACATGTGCACACACACATATACGTAGTATATAATATTACATATACTCCCTCCGTCCCAATATTATTTTCATTCTTTCCATTTTGGTCCATCCCAAATTTATCTCCTCTCCCTTTTTGGCAAAGAATTTGTGGTTCACAACTATTCTTACACATTCTCTCTAAAAAAAAATCATTCTTACACATTCTTAAACATTTATCTCTCCTTTGCATGGCTGCATAACTCTCCACCACACAATTTTTACTATCTTAATAAGTGTGCTTGGTCAAAACCGAAGTTTTTATTGGACAGAGGGAGTATAATATTATGTATATATGTATATATATGTAGGGTGCAGATAAAAAACAATTTTTCTCGTAAGAATTGCAAACCGTTAAGTTTTTCCCTAATGTGATTCACTATTAGGTTTATGCATTTTTTGCATCAATTGAAAACTTTGACTTATTTACCAAAATGTCACTGTATTTTTGTTATTTGACATGGCTCGACCAAAGTTTAAAAGGTGCAACAGGACACCCTTAAAGCGCATCACAAAAACACAAGTAAGCATATTTGTGAGCAAGACTAATTATCTTGGAACATGTTTACTTCATTGGTTACTAAGCATTGTTTATTAAGATCTGCGTTATTAATCGGCGCATAAAATAAGCAGTGCTATTAGCACATGTTTACTTCACACGGTTTAAAACACGTTCAAAATAACCTCACATATATACACACAAACACTCGTGTATACACAAGTTAATATGTAGGGGCCTACCCCCTACCCCTGGACCTACCTCTACCACCCGTACACCTACCCTTACCCTTTCCTTGCCCCTTACTCTCGACCCCCTGTCGTGGCCTACCCCCTGCTCCCATGCCCCCCCCTTTACCCTATCAAGCCATCAAGGCAAGGGAATAAGGGAAGGGGTAGAGGGTAAGGTACGGGGGTCGGGGTTGTGACACTCCAAAAATTTAAATTAAAAAATAAATAAATTTTAATAGTCAGATAAAATATTACGAAAGTGACATTTTAATAATTAAGTGAATCAGACGAAATTTTAACATCGGTGACATTCTTAACCAGATAAAAATGTTTCAATAATAAAAGTGACATCTTAACAATTTTAAAAATATTAGTTGATAATGTGTACAAAATACACCAAATACCACCCAAAATAACAACATCGTTGACTCTTCGAACCTAATAATAATACTACGTGATATATAAACTCCCATATAGAGATAATACTTTAATAATACATGCAGTACACATATACAACAAATTATGTGAGCTACACACCCACATGGGTCGTGATATATTTGTACCTGCGATGATTAACCCAACGAATACCCACAACCCATGTTCCATGATAAACTAACTTTCGATAAGAACAAAAAGAACGAGCTGCACACACATGCCTAGGTCGGATTCATCTTAATAAGACTATAAGAGTACCTAGCGGATGCACCAGAATCTCCCATTAAAGTGTATAAATACCTGCGTTCAACCTCTGCAAAATATCCAAAGAGTTCAAACGAGCTATTACTACTATATACCTCTTTCATACGTTGGTTATATACATATATACAAAAATTCAACTGAGCGTTATACTAAATACCGAGCTTCGAAAACACTCCAAAAACCTTCCCCTTCGTGAGAGGAATCCAAGGGTGAAAGAATCGTAGAAAACGGTCGTGAAGCGAGAGAGATATCACTTGCCGGAGTTTCGCCGGGCTAACCGCAACGACGGAAAACGGAAAAGGAGGTGCTGCCGCCGCCGCCAATCCATTCCCGACCATCGCCGTCCCAGAAGGATCCCGCTACCACCTCCGTTTCACGCATCCGTCAAGGTAAATCCTTTCCCTTCAAATTCTTCCTGCGTCACCTATGTTCCAACGAAGAAGACAACACCTGCGTTCTTTTTCTTTCTTGATGTTGGACTGAAATTTGGGCTACTAAGTGCTATTCGGCTGACCGAAATTTGGGATGACAAATAATAATAATAATAATAATAATAATAATAATAATAATAATAATAATAATAATAATAATAATAATAATAATAATAATAATAATAATAATAATAATAATAATCTGCAAAATGGATAAAATTGAGATGAGAAATATTAATGAGGGAATTGGCTTGATTGGTAGTAATCACTTGGATAAATTGGTTAATTGTTAGTTGACATAATAATTACATAATGTTAAAATGAATTGATGGGTTGATTAATAAAAATAAACGAATATTTTATTACAAATAAATTGGATAAATATTATTTTCACTAATTATTATATTAATAGATGTAGATTAATAAAATTAACATAATTACGGACTCGGAAATATTAAGTGCTTGAGTAAATTAATAAAATCAGATTAAGTTAATCATGGTTAGTTAGTTTAAATAATTTTTTTAATATTCGGATTTACTAATTGTAATAATGTTGATTAATATAAATTAAGGAAATTATGAAATTTGAATATCAAATGCAATTCAGATTTTTTTATATATAGGTGTTGATATTAAAGAGATTGTCACGAACTGAGATTAGTTAATTATTTAATACCTTTTATTATCATTACCAAAAAAAAATACCTTTTATTATCAGACTTGATTAAAATTAATAAAGGATTATTGTATTAATTACCGAATTAGTTTAAATAGCTTAAATAATACTATCGTATGAGATAGTTATTAAGTACGAACATATTTGTAATAAGCTATAATTGAAGTAATTTGAATATGTTCATAATCCGTATATCTTAACAATATTAAAATATAGTAAAATAATTGGATGTTTTAGAGGTAGAAAAAATTAATTGGTGATTAATAAATTAAAAAGTTGATTAATTAAATGCATTTCGGTTATTATAATATAATTATAGTATTCCAATAAAAGAAATCATGGCTGAAGTAATAAAGTGATTTCATTATTAAGAAGTGATTAAGAGATAAAATAAACTCGAATAACTAATTATATTAATAAATCCGAATAACAAAGTGAAAGGGAAAAATCGGGTAAATTATTAAAAATAGAATAAGTGACTAATTATATCATCTTAATTAAAAAGGTGAATATTTAGAGACCGGATTTGAGAAAGAGAATTAGGAGCATCAGGACTTAAGGTAAGTTTCTCTGCCGATCCAAAATTGTTTCCTCGTATTATATGCTTATTATGCATTATGTGATTAAGTGTGAATTTTGAATTATGTGTATGTGATTTTGAGGAGATATTCGATCTATGGTATTTGAGAAGTGCAAACGAAGTACTTTTGGGTATTAAATATTTTTAAATACCTTTGAGACTATTTAGAGAGATTGATAAATATGTTTTTGGAAGTATATCTAAATTCAAGATAAAATTTACGTTTTCATAAGAAGTGAGCACCCGGGAGAAATCCGTGGTGTCGGTTTTCCACATCCGGATAAATGTGGAGGGTGATTAAGGCTGCTACTACTAAGAAGTACGGTTTGAGTTTGAAGTGACGTTTGGATCTATGATCCCTTTTAAGGAGAAGTTATAGTAGTAGTAGTCCCTAATCATTCAAGAATTTTAAAGGTGGGGTAGTTGGTAGAGTGAGTCCCGATTACTCGTGACGACTTACTACTCGGAGGGCTTGGAATCCCTTTTAGGGGGTGTGCACACTTAAGGTAGTCGTTTCGCTTCCATTAGCAGTTGTGGTACCGGCAAAAGTCCCGAGGTGGCCGTACATAATAACGTAACCACCGGGCTCAACCAGAGTGTTGAGCACCGCCCTTCTAAATTACTAGGAAGATAGAGAAGAAGTGAATTTTGAGAAATTCTAAGAGAAGAGTTACTATAGTATTTTCAAAGAAAAGTTGAGGACTTTATTAAATAAGTGATTTTGAGAAATATCAAAGAGAAAAGAATTTTAGTGGAGTGTGTCATTTTTATATAGTATTATATGAAAAACTATTTTTCGCCAAACCTGATTATTTTACGGGGTTGGGTAGTACTTACTTAGCTCTAAAGCTAATTTTTGTTTCCTTTTCTTTGTTTTGTTTTCTGCACTTTATTTGTGAAGGTAATGATGACTATGTTGATTGATAATTGCATGCGCCTGAGAGCGACGTAGAAGATGCCTTAGTCAAACCTAGTCATGAATAAACAATCCAATTATGTTGAACACTTGTTTTACTTTGTTTTTTGATTGCCTGTGCATTCGGTTAAGAGATGACCGGATGTGGCGGTAACACCCATTTCCCAATTAATATTATTTCCGCTGCAAAACTTTTTATCTGTTTTGAAAGGATAAATCAAGTTTATTATCAATAAATCTATTATTTCAAGTATTATTTTGGAAGGGAAAATGAGGGTGTTACAGGGGTAGTAGGGGTAAGGGGTATCGAGCACGGATATGAGGGTCGAGGTGGGGTGAGGGTAGGGGTAAAATGAGGGATGAGTAAGGGGTAACGTGGGGCACAGGGTACCAGGTGGGGGTAGGATGTACAGGTATGGGTACAAGGAAATAGAGGGGGTGGGGTAGGGGGTGGGGTAGGGGTACACGTACGAGTAGGGGGCTCGGGTAGGGTAAGGGTAAGGGTAAGGTACACGTACGAGTAGGGGGCTCAGGTAGGGTAGGGGTAAGGGTAAGGTATTGCTCAAGGGTAAGGGTAAGGGTAAATGTGGAAAGTAAAATGGTTTAAACTTTCGCTTAATTAATACATGAAGGAGTGATATGCTTAGTAAGCATTACTTTAAGCACTCGTTTGAATTAGTAAACGGCTTTTTAAACAGCCTGTGTGTTTACTTCACCTGTCATACTAACATAACTATGGTTTTAGCGGTGATGTAAACACGCCAATAATGTGTTAAGAAAGGTCGTGCATGCATGGAATTTCTAAGTCACGAAATTCACGATGTAGCAGTTAGTATTAGAGCATGGCTAATGATATTGCATCGTCTATTGGCAACCAAGATGGTCCGGATTCGGCGAAGATCTTCATTCAAGTGCTCATTGAGGAATAATTCAGACCCATGTTGCATAGGCTAGGTGCCTTGAGGCCTCGATGGTAGCATTCGAGAATGAAAATGAGATGCTAAAAATTGAAGTGCTGATCTTGAAGAAAGCAATAACACCGAGTCCTCGCGAGGGCATTGAAGCTAGTTCTTTGAAGATCAAAGTGTGGAGCCCAAGTGTTTGGTGGATCCAGGAATGCTAAGGAGTTGCATAAATTCTTATGAGACATGGAAGATTACTTTAATGCGGTTAAAATTCCATATGAGGAAAACATTTCTCCTATATATTCGGTCGGGGGTGTCAAGCTATGGTGGCATGGTAGAATGACAAATGACATCGTTTCGGGAAGACCTGGTATTGAGTGTGGGATGGACTCAAGAGAGAATTGCAGACGCGATTCCTTCCTCACAATGTTTCATGGATGACCCGAGAGTCATTGAATAAATTGAAGCATAATGGGTCAATACGAGAGTATGTGAAGGAGTTTTTGTCTCTCATGTTTGATATTTATAATATGAGTGATGATGACAAATTCTTCAACTTCATGTCAGGATTGCAACCATGGATATAGGCCGAGTTGAGAAGACTAGTTGTGAAAGACTTGCCCACGGCCACAGTCGAGGTTCCTCGTATTTAAAAAGTCATATTGACTTCAAGGCGATGGTTCCTCAAGGAAAGAAAGGTGATCCAGGCAAGAAGGACAATGGCGGAAAAGTCAAGGCCGGTGGGAAGGACAAAAAGAAAAAAGGAGGGATGAAGACCCCTTCTGAAGGGGAAGAGATGGATAAGACGCAGTGGGGTTGTTGGACATGTGGTGGTGACCACTTCCAGCGTGATTGTTCAAGGCCCCTAAGACTAAAGCCATGGTTGACGAAGAGACCCAAGATAATGTGGCTGATTCAGTACATTGTAGCCCTATACAACTATTGACGATTATCATGGAAAACCACAATGGGTTGTGAACCGGAGTTTGATGTACGTGGAAGTACCGATCAATGGTGTTAAAATCTTGGCAATGGTTGGCACTGGTGCTAGTAATAAATTTTTGGCAGAATGTCTTGTTGCCATGTTACGACTACAATTGGAGGAAAACTCATCTAAGATGAAGACGATGAATTCTGTCGCTAGAGATGTTACTGTTTGGGCTGATGTTTCTCTCAAAGTTGGTGATTGAAAAGGAATTTGTAGCCCAACTGTCTTGCCCTTGAATGACTTTAACGTGATCCTAGGGAATGCGTTTCCCCTAGCCGCTAAGACAATAGTGTTCCCTTATCTAGGTGGAGTGATGATAAACGATGAAGAAAGAGCAGGTTTCGCAAAGGTCGGTATGCTTGGATCGCCTTTCTTCCCTTGAGGAACCATCACCTTGAAGTCAGCATGACTTTTTGCCCTGACTCTGGTCGTGGGCAAGTCTTTTAAAGCTAGTCTTGTCAACTTGGCCCATGCCCATGGTTGCAAACTAGATATGAAGTTGAAGAGTTTGTCCTCATCACTCATATTTTAAATATTAAGCATGAGAGATGAAACTCTGTCACATACTCCTTTATTGACCCACTATGCTTCAATTTATTCAATGACTCCGGAGCCATCCAACAAACATTGTGAGGAAGGAATTGCATCTCTAATTCCCTATTGAGTCCATCCCACACTCAATACCAGGTTTCCCTAAAGCAATGCTATCTATCATTTTGTCACACCACCATAGTTTGACATCCCCAACTAGATACATAGGAGAAATTGATATTTTCTCCTTGAAAATAATTTAATGCAAATAAACACATTGTAAAGCTGCAAGCTAAAGCTTTTAAAATTACATTGAATACCTTAATGGATATCTGACTCTTTTTCACATATTATCCTCCTTTACAATCTTGCTATAAAACTTTATTACATATACCGTTGTGGGGACCCTTGAAGTATTTTCTCTGTTTTCCACTGAAATCAATTTCACTTTCTACTTAATAGGTGTTTTTATTTGAATGCTATATTACTTGGTATCTAATAACTTTTAATTTTTTGATTTTGCCTCTATATCTTTAGTTATGAAGCTTTTTAAACTAAACTTATAAAAAGTGAACTCTTAAGTAGATCTAGATTTGTTGCTTCTGCGAATTCACTCCGTACATAATAGGTTTCAATTTGTTGATATTGCCTATATAAAGTTAATAGATGAAGTTTTTCAAAGTCTGTTTTTTTAAAATTACATTGAAATAGATTGCCAAGGCTTGCTCGGGATTGGCAATGGTTGCAGCAAACCTCCCTTCCTTTTCTTTGTCTTGTCTTGTTGACAAACAAGACATGTTCTCACGTATGCCTCAATATCTTGCTCCATTTTCGGCCACACGTAGTCTCTGGATAGCAAAGAAAACATATGTGCCACACCGGGATGACCTGCCCACTGCGGTTCATGAGTCTCTTTGAAGAACTCAACACGAAGTTTGCCAACAGGGTCATATAGTCACCCTCTTTTGCCGATGAGGAAACCATCTTCCATCCAATACCGTCTCACCTATTCACACAAGAATTGATGGCTTTGGTCTTCCTTAGTTCTCCTTTATCTGGTCCACCATGTTTCCTTGCACTATTGCCAAAGCATTAACATATTCTTCAACTACTTTATGTTTCCTACGCTCTAAGTGCATCTGCCACGACATTGTGTTACCCTGGTCGATGAACTCAATCAAAGTCATACTCGTCTAGAAACTCCATCCAACGAGCCTGCTTCGATGACATCTTCTTCTGGGACTTGAAGTATGTGTTCACCACATTGTTGGTCACCACCCTGAACTTCATACCAAGTAGGTAATGTCGTCATACTTCTATGCAATGTACTACGTCTGTCATCTCTTTCTCGTGGGCACTATACCTTGTCTCCACATCCTGTAGCTTCCTGTTTTCAAAGGCAACGGGGTGATCATCCTGATCAAGCACTTCGCCCGAAGCACGGTCTAAAGCATCAGTATGAACTTAAACGAGGCAGCGAAATCAGGCAACTTCAGCACTAGCTCACTCGCAACTGCCTTCTTCAGATCCTCGAAAGGACGTTAACATGCCTCTATCCAGTTCCAGATTTGCTTCTTCCTCATTATAACATTTGCCCTCTTTAAGTAGTCGCTTACCAATTGTCGATAATTGTTAGGACACCCTGGGAATGACCTCAGTTGACCCACATCCCTCGAGACTGACCAATCAACAATAACTTCTACCTTCTGAGGGTCACTGTAACACCCCGGCCCCGCCGGACCCGAGGTAGTTACTCCGGACCAATAGTACTGTCCCCACAAACCACCACGAGCCTTTACCGCGCACTTTGTCCTCACTCATGCGCGCCCTGAGAAACTTCCCAGGGGGTCACCCATCCCAAGACTACTCCCGTGCAAGCACGCTTAACTTGGGAGTTCTTGGGTGATGAGCTCCCTTAAAAGGAGATGCACCTCTGTTGGTATGAGTAGTACTATTAATCCTTTTTAAATTAATCTCAAGTGTTACAATCACCCCCACTTAGGATCGCAACGTCCTCGTTGCGCCCTTAAACCATTGTCAAATCTCAATCAAATCATATCCCAGAATCTTCCCCTGCTAAGTGCCCGCCCGAAATCCAACGGGTCAACACACTGTCGCAGGGTTGCTCTGATACCATTTGTAACAACCCGGCCCCGCATGACCCGGGGTAGTTACTTCGGACCAATAGTACTGTCCTCACAAACCGCCACTAGCCTTTTACGCGCACTTTGTCCTCACTCGTGCGCGCCCTGAGAAACTTCCCAGGGGGTCACCCATCCCAAGACTACTCTCGAGCAAGCACGCTTAACTTTGGAGTTCTTAGGTAATGAGCTCCCTTAAAAGGAGATGCACCTCTGTTGGTATGAGTAGTACTATTAATCCGTTTATATTAAATCTCAAGTGTTACAATCACCCCCACTTAGGATCGCAACGTCCTCGTTGCGCCCTTAAACCAATCTCAATCAAATCCCAGAATTTTTCCCCCTGCTAGGTGTCTGCTCGATATCCAACGGATCAACACACTGTCGCAGGGTCGCTCTGATACCACCTGTAACACCCCGGCCCCACCAGACCCGAGGTAGTTACTCCGGACCAATAGTACTGTCCTCACAAACCACCACGAGCCTTTACCGCGCACTTTGTCCTCACTCATGCGCGCCCTGAGAAACTTCCCAGGGGGTCACCCATCCCAAGACTACTCCCGTGCATGCACGCTTAACTTTGGAGTTCTTGGGTGATGAGCTCCCTTAAAAGGAGATGCACCTCTGTTGGTATGAGTAGTACTATTAATCCTTTTTAAATTAATCTCAAGTGTTACAATCACCCCCACTTAGGATCGCAACGTCCTCGTTGCGCCCTTAAACCATTGTCAAATCTCAATCAAATCATATCCCAGAATCTTCCCCTGCTAAGTGCCCGCCCGAAATCCAACGGGTCAACACACTGTCGCAGGGTTGCTCTGATACCATTTGTAACAACCCGGCCCCGCATGACCCGGGGTAGTTACTTCGGACCAATAGTACTGTCCTCACAAACCGCCACTAGCCTTTTACGCGCACTTTGTCCTCACTCGTGCGCGCCCTGAGAAACTTCCCAGGGGGTCACCCATCCCAAGACTACTCTCGAGCAAGCACGCTTAACTTTGGAGTTCTTAGGTAATGAGCTCCCTTAAAAGGAGATGCACCTCTGTTGGTATGAGTAGTACTATTAATCCGTTTATATTAAATCTCAAGTGTTACAGTCACCTTAATTTGGCCTTAGCTGATCACATGTCCAAGGAACGAAATTTGGGACATGCAAAACTCGCAGTTCTCTTTCTTAACATACAACTCATTCCTTCTGAGTTGTGTTAAGACCTTCCTTAGATGCACAAGGTTGTCATCTAACGACTTTAAATACACCACACTGTCATCAAGGTAAACAATGACAAAAAGATCAAGATAATCATATAACACATCATTCATTAGATTGTAGAAGGCTATCAAGCCTTTACTTACAAACAAGTAAGAGATGTGCAGAGTCATTGGGTAAGAAAAAGTTGAGAGCTTTCTCTCCCTAGGATTTCCGCCTGGGTTCTTTTTCGAACAAGAATTCACTGGTTGCATTGAATTTCACTGCTTTGAGGATGGATTTTGTGGTGTCCTAGTCGCGATTTCCTTTACTCCTAATCTCGAGTTTCAATTTGAGCTTAGGATGAAGGATTCCGACCACAAATCACGTAAAACGAGTCCGTCGATATGAAGGCTTACTGTTCATGTCGTTTTTGAATTTCTTTACAATCTTGTATCTGGATTTTTGAGTGTTGTTTGGGGTTTTATTTGTCCTGTGGAGAATCGCCTTAAATCTGTGGAGGCTGTGGGTGTTTGAAGCTCAGACGAGGTCAGGCTCCTCTGTGACCTCTGTCTGCGACGTCCGTAATGCGCAGATATGGCGAGGAAGAAGCAGCTTGTCAATGGCGCATCCTCAACTTCGCGAATTACCAGGTCCTCGTTTGCGGTGCTAGATGGAGCAGGGGAGGAGTTCCCTGAACAACCTGCTCGTGAACAACCTCCTGTGGCCCCTCCTGCTGCTGTAACTGAGGATGAGCCTCTGATTTTGGGCTCCAAGAGTGCTGTGCAGAAAGCTAAGGGGGTAGATTTTGCTGGAAGTGCTCCCCAAATATCAGGAGATATGGTCAATGCTGCTGGGAAAGAAAACCATGCACAAACTGAAGGTTTAAAGAATGTTACTGTGAGAACCCAGGCTATCAGTGCTGCAGCTAGCTCAGGGACTGCTACTCCTTGGTCCTCCCTTTTTAAGGACAATCGGGCACCCTCGAATGGCTTTAAATTGAGGTACATCCCGCCTAGTGGCACAACCATTGACTTTTCCGATAGGATTATGCCTAGTATGGTTGAAATGTGGGGTTTTTGTTTAGTCGGTTGTTTCACCGGAAAATTTCCTGGTCTAAAAGCGATTTATGATTTGAAGAACACATGGGGTGTTAAGTGCATTATTAAGCCCCATGATAATGGTTGGGTTATATTTAAATTTCAAAGTGAGGATGATAGGACAAAAGTGTTGAAAGAGGGACCTTACACCATTTTTGGGAAACTACTTATGTTAAAAGCACTATCGGATGATTTTTCCTTTGATGATGAAGAGTTTCTCAAAGTACCTATTTGGGTTAAATTCCCTAACTTACACTTGAAACTTTGGAATGAGGATGCTTTGAGTGAGATTGCATCCATGGTTGGTGTCCCATTGGCTACGGACAAAGTCACACATGATAGGTCTAATCACCACTTTGCTAGAGTGCTTATTGAAGTGGATATTTCGAAGCCACCGCCACTTTCATTTCCTATTCGACTACCATCCCGGAAGGTAGTTAAACAATTTGTGGTGTATGAAACATTCCCAAATTTTTGCTTCCATTGTAAGATATATGGGCACCACCCGTTTATTTGCAATAAGCTAGCAAAAAAGGACGATGATACGGTGAAATCAAGTGAGAAAGGTGAAGATGAACAAATAAAAATTGGGGGAGTGGAAAACATACCTGCGGAGATTGTGGAAACTGTTGAACCCGCTGCCCAATCCAGTCTGGCAGAATCTGCCCAGGAGCTCCACCCGACCGGGCCAGGCCTTAACCCGACCGGGTTTCATGAAAATACAACTGTCCAGGAGCAAACCCAATGGTCTCCAGAAGTTGTGAAAAGCTCAAATGAA